ATTTGGCTTTTCAACTCTATAGTATGAAATACCTTAGCTTTCTTCAGATTTACTTACATAAACCAATCCTGACCGATGTTGCTCATCCAATCAGCTCGCATAGCTCAGTTGGTAGAGCGCATGACTAGTAATCATGAGGTCAGCGGTTCAAATCCGCTTGTGAGCATTGTTTTACCTTCACTTTTTTTTCCCGAGTGTGTGGGAGTCTAAGTAACTTAGAGTTTGGTGGAATTGTCTGGAGAAGGTCCTACCTTGGACGCAAACTATCGTTATCAAAACATTAAATAGATTTAGTTAAACATCTTTTTAAATCAATTTCCCTTTAGGTACAATTCGCTTATATCAGAGAAGGCGGATTAACAGAAGGATTTGGTCCAATGGGGGTTTGATGACTAGGTTAGACAAAGGTTTAGTTACCCCGTAGTCCGGTCTCCATAAGCTTAGCTTATCAGTACCTCCATGGCCATAGTGGCGCTCTTCTCGACAAAGGGTGTAGATAACTGTTACTGGCTCAAGCGGGCTCAGATCCGAGTAACGACGTCGGCATTGGGCTCAACTTCAGACAGAGAAATGCGCTCCGACCACTGCACGGTCTCAGAGCAGACACCGCTCCTGAGGGAACAGACTCAACCCTCAGGCATTAACACCCATGAGCATGATGACAGCGCAGTCGACCCAGGGCAGGAGCCCCAGTTCAAGGAACTAATTCTGATCCTTGGGTGTATATGGTTAGGTGTCTTCCTGGCTGCATTAGGTACTGTACCCTCACCTGGCTCGGTAAACCGGGAGTGTTTGAGTCCATAACTAACCGCTACAGATACAACAATCGTTGCAACTCTCACTGCGCCCATTTCGTCATCATTCAATTCCTTCTCTCTACTTTCTTGGCTAGCCTCCTCTTACCTGATCTCCAATGCTGCCTTTCAACCGCTGAGCGGCCGATTGACCGACATCTACTCGCGACGCGCTGGTTTAATTTTTTCGAACGTGTTCTTCGCTGCCGGGAACTTGATATGTGGGTTGGCCAAGAGCGAAGGTACCATTGTACTAGGCCGTGTTGTGGCAGGAATTGGAGGCGGTGGTCTGACGGCTATCTCGACATTTGTCACATCGGATCTGGTTCCTCTCCGCAAACGAGGTGTCTGGCAAGGCATTGGTAACATCTGTTATGGAGCGGGAAGTGGACTCGGCGGTGTTTTCGGAGGATGGATCAACGACACTCTGGGATGGAGATGGGCTTTCTTGATCCAGGTGCCCTTCGTTGTCGTATCATGCATCCTTGTTGCCGTGACGGTGAAGATACCCGTCAAGGAAACCGACACGGCCAAGTTAAAGCGGGTGGACTTCCTGGGAGCTATCACCCTGGTCATTACACTTGTCTTACTGCTACTCGGACTTAATACTGGGGGTAATCAGGTGCCATGGACTCATCCGTTAATCCTCGCGACATTGCCGCTTTCCGCCGTGTTTCTCTTCATCTTCATTCATATCGAAGCAAACATTGCGTCCGAACCAGTCATCCCTGTGCGTCTGCTGCTCGACCGGACCGTATCCTCGGCCTGTCTTACCAACTGGTTCAGTACCATGGCGATCTTCGGACTCCTCTTCTACCTCCCCTTATACTTTCAGGTTGAGGGCCTATCGGCCACTGCTGCTGGCGTTAGGCTGATACCCCAGGCGCTTGGGACATCCCTTGGCTCTCTTGCTTCGGGGTTTCTCATGCGTGCTACCGGACGGTACAAGATATTTAGCAACTTCTCCATGATTCTTCTCGTCGCTGCAGGTGGCTTGATCTGCACACTGAACCTGGCAACACCTGCTTGGATCCCTTTCGTCTACTTCTTCTGCCTAGGCACGGCCTACGGCAGCATGCTCACTATCACGCTCGTGGCACTTATTTCTGCTGTAGACCACGAATACCATGCTGTCATTACATCCGCATCCTATGCGTTCCGCAGCACAGGCAGTACGATCGGTATCACCATTGCATCTGCAGTTTTCCAAAATATCCTGAAGTCAGGGCTGTGGTCGCGCTTCGGTGATCGCGAGCATGCTCGAGAAATTATCTCACGCATCAGGGACAGTTTGGACGAGATCAATAAGGTTCCCAAGGATTGGAAGGCAGGAGTTCTAGATGCATATATGGATTCTTTGCGGGCGGTTTTCCTGACGTTACTTGGACTCAGCGTCTTGGGGGCCTTGGTCAGCATGGCCATGCGGGAGCACAAGTTGCACAACAATCTGGCCCGAAGGGATGGTGAATAGTCATGCTATCCACATTCTACATAGACAGCTATATATATTTAGGTAGGCGCTAGATAAGCTGTTTATTGTCTTTTTTAATGTAGCTAGTTCTGCTAATGGCACCGTAATTATGGTGTGGTTTATATCGACCAATCAGAGCCCTGAGATTCCACATGATCTCTCTCCCCGCCGATAGCCGTACAGTACCTTAGTACGGAGTAGTAGGTACAAAAAGGCGGGATCCATGAGACTGTGAAGGTCTTACGATTGTTTGCCTTTGATCAGAATCCCTGCCCTGAGATTCCGTGTTGTATCAGGGAACCTTTCCTTAGCCCATCGCGCTCCAGGTATTTCGAGTGATTTCTCCAAAACCCTTGAGCACCTGATCTTCGACCGGTTGCGGTAGGGGTGGCGTCACAGACAGAGAGCATCACTGATAGTGCGCGAAGACGTGGCGACACCGGGTCAGCGAAACGGGGGACAGGGTGACCCATAACAAGTTTTTAATACCAAATTGGCCTGGAACCGAGAGCTCTATCCCGGGAACCGTCAAGTTAACTTTCGATCCACTATCTTGCGTTGTTCTTGACCGCTTTCTTGGTCCACCCGCTCATACAACAATTTAGTCTATTAGCTCACTCACCTCTTGACACGTTCGAGCCCTTGTTGTCAAGCTGCATTAAAGAGCAGCCATTGGGCGTTGCCACCATCTTTTACATGGATTCAATATCGTTGTTTGTTGAAGGAGAGCTGTTTGGGCTGCGATTGAAGTAACCCAATTTCATTCGGCTCTGGTGTTGACACTTCCTTGCTACCTTCTGGCTTCCTTGTCGCTTTTACTAGCAGATTCCCCCTGTGGCACATAGGTGTACGGAGAAAGCTCGGCTCGTTGAATTACCCTCTTTGAAGCCTTCTTTGTCGTCTGGGTAGTCTCTTGGACTTTTCGATTTGCTCTTCGGACCACAAACTTTGCTCCGTCGATTATCATCGCCACAACTTTTCTCTAGCCGATTTCAACGGGTGTTGGCCATATTCCTGGCATGGCAGTGGGGTTACGGCCGGATAGTCCTACAAAATCGAGTATTTTAGCGGGTGCTGCCTCGAAAAGCATTTTGCCTACTGAAATGGAGATTGATGGGGAGACTGAGGGGAGATCAACTCGGCATTCTGCATTTACCAACACCAGTTCGAACGAAGTCGTGGAAAATGTCGCTATTTCGTCGAAACGCCGCCGAAGGCGCATATTACTGTCGACGGAGAGCGTCTTTGTTGATAACATACTACCCTCCCTTCTCCAGAACCCCGATGTCGAACTACGGCTGATTACGGACGAGCCTTCGGCCCTCTTGGCAGGCGCAAACAAGATTCCTCACTACATGGATACTGTCGATAGTCAAACATTTGAGAAGAAAACCGGTGCCCGAAGGTGGCTTAAAACCAAGGCAGCAGAGCTCAGTGAGTGGGCTGATATGCTCCTTGTTGCCCCTATCGATGCTGGAACATTGGGGTCGATGCTATTCGGCCTCACCAACACGTTGACGCTGGCGCTTCTTCGTGGCTGGATTTCAACAAAACCTGTCATCCTTGTACCGGGAATGACTGTTTCGGAGTGGGAACATCCTCTTAGCAGCAGACAGCTGGCTGAAGTCGATCGATATTGGTCTTGGATCAACATAGTCAAGCCAGCCCTCTGGCGGTCGAATGGTCCCGAGGAACTTGTTCAATTACCTTGGGATGGTCTAGGAGAGTTACACAACACTATGGAGCGGACCCTAGGGCTGTCTTTCGCTGAGTCGTCGACAATTTCTGGGCAGGCTCTCGATAGCACACAGCGAGTAGTCCCGTCAGTGACCAAACAGTCCGCGAGTGCAATGTCAGCGGCACAGCATCTGCGGAAGGGCGCGCGATCACTACCTCTCGAGTTATGGCTCAACATATTCGAAGAACAGTTGCAAGATTGGGAAATCGCCAAAGCAGTTGGCATTCCTACAAACCTTCCTGTACCTAAGGAATGGCAATCTCACCTACTCAAGATGTCTACTCCCGCATCTCTGGAATACACAATCCTAAGAGGGTCCTTTGCTGCTATCAAAAAGCGCATAGACAGCTTACCCCGGTGGAAACCGCTGTCAGACCTAGCCTGTCACCTCATCTTCAAGTTCTCGCGGACCGACATACTGTCATATTTAACAGAGAACCATCTTGATATGCTATGGACTACATCCCGCCTAACAAAACTGCCGTACCGCGCGTCGGCAATATACGGAAACCCGAAGGTCTTGACATGGTGGCAGGAGACACCTGCGCTGCCGAATAAGGATTACAGCGCCGATGCGATGGATGGAGCCTCTCGCGCCGGCTTCGTCGAGGTGCTGGAATGGTGGCGAACATCGGGACTCGAATTACGATATACGGAGAGAGCACTCGAGTCGGCCAGTGCCGAGGGTCGGGTAGCGGTGCTTGAATGGTGGAAGAATGCCTCTGCTAATGCTCCACCATCGAATCCTATTCCGCTTAAAGTAGGGAAATCTGTTTTACTCGCTGCACAGTCTGGTCGAGTGGAGTCTCTAGCTTGGTGGGATGCTTCGGGCATTCCTTATAGTCACGCAGAGTCCGTTGCCCGCATTGCCAGCACTCACGGCCATGTCCATGTCCTCGACTTCTGGTACCGGCTAAAGGGACCCAAGATGATCTTCGACAGCCAGCTGTTGGTTGGGCCGACCAAGAACGGACATGACAACGTTCTAGAATGGTGGCGCCGCAGTGGCCTGCGAGTGGAGTTCAAAACATGCGATATCGAAGAAGCTCTCGAGGACGCGGACCCTGTCTCTGGCGCGGAGGCACGCGTCCGCCGGTGGTGGGCTCGCAACGGGCTCAATCTGGGCGTTGGAACAAGCGAATGGATGAAAACAAAAGTGCTCTGAGTTCTCGCCATTCGTTCATTGCCCGTCTGATTCTGCTGCTTCCTATATTCATGACTCAATCATTCGAGAAATATACCCAACTGGTTTGTTGTAGATGATGGCGTTTTGCATACACACATACATACATAGCCTCATGAGAAATGAACTAATGATGTCAATGGATCTTCACACTCACTCAACCTCCCATCGAACAATATGCTTGACCTCCGAGGAGTCCGTATACTCTTTGATCTTCGAAAACTCCCGGGACCCCTCTGACTGGGCAAAGTGGAGATGCTGCTGCATTTCCGTCCACCCACTGAATAGCACAAACTCCTCCTTTCCCTCCTCCTTCTCAACTCTCCACCCCTTGAAGATAGGCAACGGCTTCGTAACGTCCTCCAGACGATGCTGCATCCCCTCAAACACCCGGTCGAACCCCTCTCTCTTCTCAGCGTTCATGAAATACCGCCCCACAGCAACAACAGGTGCTTCGGCGAGTAACTCCCCCTGCCGCACCGCATCACCATCCACATGCAACAACCCCATCACCTCCATCTCACCCGAGAGTCGTTCCATGATCCCCTGGTTTGTAGCCGAGGGAATCCAATCCTCGTAGTGCTGTTGCGCCGAGTCCCATCCCCCGACGAGGTAGATGAGTGAGGGATCCTCGACTTGGGAGAAGAGATAAACCGGGTATGAGGAGAATTCGGCTTGCGCTTTGATGCCTTCGAGGAGGAGTGCTTTGAATGATGCGGAGGGAGGATTAGATTTTAAGCGCAGGAGCGCGATTTCGGTGACTGGGGGCGTCATTTATGCTTCTCCTTGGATACGTCGTGGTAGTTGGAGTAGTTACTGATCAGAGTCTGGAGTCAGATGTAGGATGTTTCGTTGTCAGGATGCACTGAGCCTTTTATATCTAGTTGAATTGGGTCGTGCGCAGAAATGGTTGCTAAGTGTTCACCAACAACCATTTCCCGATTGGGAGATGCTGACGTCGCAATGGTGCCTAAATAGACAGACAGTGTGGAGGCGCTCGACCGCTCTCATAACGTAAGATGCAAGATGAACGAACCACATGAGCTTTGATTTGGTTCAATTTTGAGCAGATGAGATATCATTCTTGCGACTACATCCTACGGACCAACTGCTCGATACTGAGAATCGATGGTAGAAGGAACATTCCATTTGCGCTTTGCGAACGCCCCGAAAAGTTATACATAAGAGCAGACTTGCAAAGATCGCCTTCAGTTTCTAAGAACTCATTCCTTTGAGCCCATACAATAGTTAAGAGCATGCCGCTGACTTTAAGTAACTCGGGTATAATCCGCCTGAGCGATTTTCTAAGCCGTGAATCTCAGTCGTCCTCCCCTTCATTTCCCTTTCCCTCTCCCTCATTAACGTCCAAATAGTAGACATAGAGAATCATCAGACACATAAAAGATATAGCGGGGACATGGCGTCACGAGTGAAATAGAGAAGACAGGTTCAAACTTCTCTCCTATACATGGATTAGCCGCAACTATGCGCACCAGGAAGATCTGTAAAAGATACATACCATGTAGGCTCAGTCTTCTCAAGACCAGGAGTGCGGATAGCATTTCTGTCGCCAAATGGGTTGTTCTCGTCGTCGTCGTCCTCATCAGTCTCCGACTCACTTGCGCTAATGTACTTTTGCTGGGAAGATGACGGTACGGATATGCTCAAAGGTCGAGGAGGCCGAGGAGGTTTGGGAGGGTTGACGACCAGTCCGGCAAACGATTCATTGAGATCGTCTCGATCAGGAGTCCAGCCACTTTCAAGCACATCCTGGTCACTGTCGCTGTCATAGTCTATACTCTTATCCAGGACTTCGAACGCCATAAGTGCAGTAACCAACTCCTCATTGGCGTGGATAAGACTTCCCAGATACTCCTCGCTCTCCACATGCTGAATGTACCGGAGAATTTGCCGCCTAAGGAGCTTGCAGGTCTCAAACCGGTTGAGACACTCTGCATCTTCACTCACCCGGTGAGTTTCGCGGTTTACCCGCTTCAGCGCATTCAGAAGGTTGGTGCTGGCGACCGAGGAAGAGGCGAGGGTCTGTAGCATCTCCGGCATCTCCCTCTCCAAACTGAACGACCTATTATGTATTTTCTTCTCCTTTTCTTTCTTGTCTCTCTTGAAAGAAGATTTGCTCGATGTATGTTTGTGCTTGGGACTGCTCAAGACAGTGCTCGGCCCGTTCCCTACCGAAATAGAGACCGTATGGCCCAGTTGTGGCTCATTATTTGTCGAATTACCAGTATCCCGGAGAACTTTCGCCTTGGCCTGAGTAGCGGGCTGTTTGCGCTTTGGAAGCTGTCGGTAAAGCGCTGTCACCCCTCCCATCCCCGGTGTGTCCTTGTAGGATACTGCCCATTGCCCGAAAAGTTGCTTGCACTTCTGTTTCACCAAAGGATCAGATACTGGATCGGTTGCTGCGATTCGTAGACGCTCCAAGAGTGGTTCATCTGCAAACTCTCTCAAGAATCGATCTCCAGCATTCTGTATCAAGAAGTCAAGAATGGTAAGAGCTCTCAGCTGGCGGTGCAGATTGCCATATTTACTGGAGGAACATTAGATAAGTAGGACTGAGACAAAGGGATAGATAGGTGGACTGACAGTTTCTTACGCAACGCACGACTTGCTTCAGTCGGTCCGCTGCTCTGAATGCGAATCGCTTCGATGAGGTCGACAATTCCGCTCGAATCTTCAACCTCGTACTGCTCACCGGTGAGCACCTCAATCTGAACGGTCACAGCCGAGTATGGTTTCTGCGCGAAGTACCGTCAGTTCTGCACGCTTTTCATATTTAGCAATTACAAAGAACTTGATATGCAAATCCCCAGACAGATTCTGATGACTTGAGTTTGAACGATCAAGCTATCTGCAAGAGCTCTAATCAACGACAGAACCGCACTTACTGCTGAGTGGAACATGGCGTTGTCATTCGAGGTCTTATTGGGCAAATAAGTATCAAAGCAGTCAAAGCGCAATGATTTCCCAAGGCGAAGTCAGTGCAACTCCTTGACAAGCTCGGCCCTCGTGAGACCCTGAGACGAGTAGTCAGGAACTAGACCTTGATTCCAACGGCGTGTATAGCTCCTAAATCCAGAGTCTCGGCACGAGATTTAGGAAGTTAGGCACAGCAATACCCAGACGGTGACGTGTTAGGCCTGTTAGTCCGACCGAGGCCGTCGTGTGCCCTGGCGGCAGTGCTTAAAAGCCCAACACACGAGCACGGTCGACTCTTAAGAAAAACGAGGCTGGTTCGCGCAACACCCGCTATGCTAGCCTTTCGCGCCACTGATGAAGGATGCAATAGAGTTTTGAAAGGGTGGCATATATGACTTTCTACTATTAAGTAGACATCGCCGTCGTCCACCTGTCTTGATAGCGATACCCCTACTCTTCCTTCCCCGATTATGGGCCAATCTCGTGATTGCCCCTCTCCGCACCCCCAAAGGAGTTTAGGGCGGGGAGAGAGGTGGGAATGGGATGCCTGGATGCCTGGGGTTTCCAGAGCTCATAGCAACAGTCACGAGTAAATAATTCTAGAGATGATGACTATCACTGCAGGGGATTGATGACTGAGGGCGATCTGGAATTGGGAGTATTACCAAATAACTACTAACAATTGCTGCTGAGCAGCATCTTACGTATGCCTTCTTCACCTTCCCAATGGGTCCTCGGTCTATAAATGCGGCTGATCGCTGCTCGGCTCGCCAGTCGTCCTTCTCAATCTTCTCCCGTCTTATCCTTTGCTCCACTCTTCTGCTCGGAGTCAGTATCATCTTTAAAACCCGCCCGCGCATATTTACCTCCCTCCCCACCGTGTCTTCTTCACCCTATTATACCCACACTGCCAACATGTCCTACCAACAAGAGCGCTACATTGCCGAACTCGCTGTTCAGCGAGCAACACTTCTGACACAGAAAGTTTTCCACGAGAAGGCCAAGGGCACAGTTTCGAAGGACGACAAATCGCCCGTCACCATCGGCGACTTCGGCGCTCAAGCTCTAATCATACAAGCCCTCCGCAAGAATTTCCCCAACGATGAGATCGTCGCCGAAGAGGAGGCTAGCTCTCTTCGGGAGGACAAGGCGTTGAGCGCAGAGATCTGGAGACTGGTCAAGGACATCAGATTGGAAGATAACGAGAGCAATGAGCTCCTGGGTGGTCTCTTGCCAAGTGAAGATGCGATGCTGGACATCATCGACCAAGGCAAGAGCGCAGGCGGTCCCAAGGGTCGTATCTGGGCTCTGGATCCCATCGATGGCACAAAGGGATTTCTCCGGGGCGGCCAGTATGCTGTCTGTCTCGGCTTGATTGAGGACGGAGATGTCAAGGTCGGCGCTATTGGTTGCCCCAACTTGCCCGTGGACGATTCGGTTGCCATGACCGCCAGTATCGGCGTCGACCAGACTGATGGTGCCGGCATGGGAGTACTTTTCTCGGCCATCAAGGGCCAGGGATCCATTAGCCGACCCCTCTCGAATGGTGCTCTTGCCGAGAGTAAGCCAATCTCGATGCGTCCCGTTCCGGATATCAAACAGGCCGTCTTCTGTGAAGGAGTGGAGGCTGCCCACTCCGCTCAAGGCGACAACGCTGCCGTCGCTCAGCTCCTGGGTATCACCTCCCCCAGCGTGCGACTCGACTCGCAGGCCAAGTACTGCTCAATTGCTAGAGGCGCAGGCGATATCTACCTACGGCTACCTGTCAGAAAGGACTACCAAGAGAAGATCTGGGATCATGCGGCTGGCGATCTCATTGTCCGCGAAGCTGGTGGACAAGTGACCGATATCTATGGCCAGCGCTTGGACTTTAGCAAGGGCCGCACTTTGGCTGCCAACAAGGGAGTCGTCGCCGCTCCCAAGGCCATCCAGGACCAGGTCATTGGTGCCGTCAAGACGGTCCTGAAGCTATAAAAGATGATGCGAACGGACTAACTATTGTATCGAATCACTAAACCCGTTCTAAACCTTTGTTAGATCCCTGCACGCTTGATGCGCCTAAAAGTACATGAGATAGATACCAATTGGGAAAACAGGAGACTCTGCTTGAATATACATGTACAGAAACAGCCCAGACCCTGTTCCAAGAAAATGCCAAAGTAAATAGAAGCCACCCCAGATCACCGAATCTTCTTGGCCTTCAGTCTGATTGTCTCTCCGTTCACAAAAATACCCTTGCCCTTGTAAGGCTCTGGCTTCCGCCATTCTCTGATTTCCGCCGCGAATTGTGTCACAACGCTTTTGTCGACTCCCTCAAGCAGAATACGAGTCGGCTGCGGTGTGCTGGCCTTGACTCCCTTCGGAACACCGAGCTCAATAGGGTGAGAATATCCAACCTTGAGAGAGACGAATTGTTGGCCTGGATATTCAGGTTCCACTGTAGTCGCTGTGGACTCGATGCTCGCTCTGTAACCGACACCGACCAGACTCAAAATGCAAATATGCCCTTCCGATACTCCAAGTACGTAGTTCTGCAGATGGGCCCGCATGGTTCCTAGAAGCCGTACAAGTCAGCCATGGGCCGTCGCATGAAACTTTCAAGAGTCGTTTACATACCCCACATGGCACGTTGATGGGCAATCGAGGGGTCTTGAACAGTCAAACTGGCTTTCCGGAGTGCTTCATCATGTGCAACCTCAACGAATGGAGGGATGTTCAAGGTCAATTCGCCTATGACCGAAACCGTATGTTAGATTCCGCTTCCGAGACACTCAAGGATGAAACACCGTCGCTTACCCAGAGGACCCTTGACCTCAATGGCAGTCTTAGGAATCTCTTTTGACCGGCCTCGTACCTGAGTCTGAGGCAGGTCGACAAACTTCAAGGAAACCTCTGGTGGTATCGAGATCGGAGCGCCGCCTACTCGCGATTGTGTCGGGGAAGTGGTTGAAAAACATTGTGTCCGCAGCGGGTGGGAGTACGCAGGTGCGAGGAAGATAGGTAGAGTGGTCTGCCGGAGAGGGTTCCGTGTAAGCTGCCTCAAGCAGCTCTGGGGTAGAAGATTCGACATGGCGACGATAATTGTGTTCGACTGTTCGAAAGAGCGGTTGAAAGTCCGGATCTCAACTGATTTTGTCCGAAGGCATATGCTACAAATTGGGTTAGGCTGTTCTCACGTGACTCTATCACCATCCACATAGATCGAGATCAAAACATCCCAAGGTGTCTTGTATGTTGTTTTATAATTGATTTTCTGCATATTGTCACAGCTCGCTGGCGACATGGCTTGACAGATTCTTGTAAGGTATCCTTGTATTTGCGCTTGATAGTGTAGTGTCTGTCTCTTTCGCTTTGCTCCTTTCGCTGTTGTTTCCTTCATCTTCATTTCATACTACTCCATTCCAGCTTCAGTCTTTCGGAAGACTTGACATATTCATCTTTCTATTCTGCTGTCTGCTCTGGACTATAAGTTACAACATCCATTGCTCTTATCTTTCTAGTGTCTAATCTCAATATCATTGCCACCGAGTGTCTCCATCCACTCTATTCTACTCACGGCGTGACACTCTATTCTCCAGCCAGATGTCAAGGACTCATCCGCCTACGTTCTTACTTGCCAGCATGCTGCTCCTTCTCTTGCTGATGTTGAGTCCTGCCCTTGCAGGGAAGCTACTGACCGGTATGTTCTCAGACAAGGAATTATCAGTGCATCATTAATAATGAAGTTAGGGACGTCGGTACCTTCTCATGACGCATCTGCAGAAATTGATCTGGTATCCTTCCTACAGTCGAAGACACAGCAGCATGATGCTATCTTTACCGAAGCGGTGCAGCTACTTGAATCTATGAAGTCGTCGCCTTCCTGCAACCGGATTGCAGCTTCAAGGCTCGTCGCATCTTGTCAATCAATAGGGGGAACGACTGATCATACAGAACCAAGTACATATCTTGCATTGGAACATGTTCGCTCTCTGTACGCGGCACGACTTGCAGTATGTGAACTCGACGGAGCGGGAGCGTCAATTCCTCCTCCATGTCTTCCAGTTACTCTTGAGGCTCCGCGGAAGAAAGGATTCTTTGGGTTTTCCTCCAATCATAAATCCACGACCACCACTGCCGACTCTATGCCTACTGAGATCTTAGAATCATGCTTACGGTCACTGGAATCTCGTCCACAGTGGTGGACATCGTATAGTAATAGTAGACAGAATGCCATGGTGATATGTCAAGCAACGCGGCTTGAGACCGAGAAGGAGGAGCTTCTCGAGCTTCATCGCTCAATAGTCGAAAGTTCCATCAAGCTTAGCCATGGGCTCAATGAGGCGCTTCAGATGGCCTATGCTGAATCTTCCCAGCGTCAAGCCTTCATGGAGGCGACCGCAGCTTTGCAGGCGAAGCTGACACAAGACCTGGAAGCAACTGAAACTAGTTTTAGAACTCTGCTGGGCAACTTAATGGAGGGCGTCGAGTCCGCCGTCGATTCGGTAGTTACAACTGCCACTTCAGCCCTTGCAAGGGTACATAACGATGCAACAAGCCTGGAGAGGGTACGTGTCTAGCAATCTTATACCAATACGACTGACATTGTTCAGGACATTCGAAATGCGACCAATGAAGTCAACTACCTGCGACAAATGCTGCAAGCTGTTTATGATGAAGCTCTAACCAGAGAAGCACAAAGTTTGCATGCTCTCGAACAGAAGGTCGAGAAACAGAATGAACTTGCGTTCTCACTTCAGTCCAGGCTCGAGTCCCTTGTGCAAGGTGATGTAGCCAGGCTCTCACAGAATGTTGAGACTTTTGACGCGTCGCTAGTAAGTGAACCTTGCCGAATGTGATGATCTGACAAGCTTACAACACCAGTCCTGGCTCTCAGAGAGGCTAGGACTCATTCTACAACAGGAGCTGGGGTTGTCCGAGGTTAGTGGCTTGCCCTTCAACCGGTAGCTTGACTGAGCTAATCCTTGAAGCGACTACGGAATCTCGAGACATCTCTTGAAACCTCGCAATCGAAGGCTGAAGCTTTACGTATAACTCAGCTGCAACAGTTCGATGCGCTTGAAGCACAATACAGATTACAGCAACATATGGAGACCAACTTTCAGATTTCACAGGCGCTTCTTGACAAGGCAACTGCGACTACTGCGAACTTACAAGCGATGATTGAAGAGACGACGACCAGATATCGAGATTCCCCAATACTAGGGAATGTTATCGGACCATACTCTGCCTGGACAGTGTGTGGTCTTCTTCTCAGTTTTATAGGCGCGCACAGTCCAAGATTGACTCTGGCAGCTCTTGCGATCGTTGCCGGTGAGTATAAGCCCCATAGGCTTGCGTGTAATCATGCCCGAATAACATATTTCCAGTTCACCTCGCAATGACGAGATTCTACCACGGCGTTCTGTTTTAGCTTTTGTTCTCAACGACGTTCTCGTATTCTTCGCCACTTGCATTATTTAGTCCATATATCTATGTCGTCATTTCGATTTCTTACTGGGTAACAGGCGTCAGCATATGAGAATGGGAGTTCCATGGGTTTATTAATCCCGTCATTATACCAAATTACTCCGACGCTGGAGGGAATGGGCGTTGATAGTTAAGTGATAATTAGGTGACCGAAGGATGAAGAGTGGAGATTCTAGTAGAAGCCACTCGAATCCTCAAGTATCAATGTATCACCATAACTATAGGCCTCAATGCTGGACGTACTGGCTATCCTGATTTTCCTAAATTTGTTAATTCCGCCCGACCCCTGAAGCTGCTACTTGCAAAGTCGAAACCTCAAGAGCCAGTCAGATCACTCGAGGATTTTCACATTCAAATACTGGATGCACGGAGTAGATCACATGGGCAACAAGCCTGTCCTTTCTCAGTCTAGACACGAAAGACTCAGAAGAGTCAATGCTCCACTTTCTCTTGTAGAGATAAAACGAGGAAGAATAAGGATATGTACCGCGGCAATCTGCCCGTAACCCTAGCCTGGTAACAATCAGAAATAGCGCGTATCTGTGCTGTATTCCGCAACACACGCCATGTACTCCGTAAAGACAATTAGATTCCTACAGCTCACACTGAACAACAATCTCATAGGATGGCTATTGTCATCAGCAGAGAGACCGAGGTCTTCTTATAGTTTTCTTCTAATGATGTGAGTGTGAAGCCGAAAATTCGGACTTCCCATGACTGCTCTCAACATCCACAAACTGGACGTCGACCAAGTTCATGTATCTACAATACGTCAGGTACCAAGCTTCGACGGCCCTGTCCTGAGCTGTATTTATCGGCACCGGCACTTGCCGAGCGATGTTGATTTTCGCCAGTTACTCCACATGTATTGGAAAGGATTTGGAGATCCCCAGATTTGGCGCATGAAGGAAAATACCCGAAGATCCACAGCTGGTCGAAGACATGATTCGACAGACCGGATTTCCCGTCTTCATGTGGGAGAGTCCCGCTTGCTCTGAACCGCCACATAACCCGATGTCCTAGATCTCTGCCTGCATGCTTTGGAACGGCATTGATGATCGGGAAATACTCGATGTCAAGTCCTTCTTTCATTGGCAAAACTTCGGCACTTGCGCAGGGGTTGGTCCTGCAACTTGGTTGAGATGCTCCTATCAGTGAATTACCCCACGGGGTTACGATTCTGATGAGGGTAGATTTCCGGGGAAGTTTAGTACAAAAAGAGGCTGTTTTCCAGCGAAACTCGAAGGAAACCTGGATTTTCTGCTGAGAGCAATACCATAGAACCAGACCCCTGTGGAGCTGACTCAGTCAACATGACCAAGCTCTCTCTACTGCCTCTTCTCGCATTGGCCTCTGCAGTTCTGGCAAAGCAGGATGCTTTCCAAGCCAAATGTGCTAGCTTTGGACACAGGATCAAGCTCCCTAACGTCCATGTGAACTTTGTTGAATATGTTCCTGGAGGGACCAACCTCACACTGCCCGACAACCATGTCACCTGCGGTGCATCCTCCCAGATTGTGTCAGCGGATATGTGCCGGGTTGCTATGGCTGTTGATACATCGAAAAGCAGCCAGATCACCCTGGAAGCATGGTTTCCGCGGAATTACACTGGCCGCTTTCTGAGCACTGGCAATGGAGGCCTTTCTGGCTGTAGGGCTTCTTCTAATCCGTTGTAAAGATAGAGTTTCGTTGAGGCTAATATTATTATAGGCATCCAATACTATGACCTTGCCTATACTGCCGGCTTAGGCTTTGCAACAGTCGGCGCCAACAACGGCCACAACGGAACGTCTGGCAAGCCTTTCTACCAGCATCCTGAAGTCATCGAAGACTTCGCGTATCGTTCAATTCATACCGGTGTCGTAGTCGGTAAACAGCTCATCAAGATGTTTTATAGCGAAGGCTTTGACAAGTCCTACTACCTGGGGTGCTCCACTGGTGGTAGACAAGGCTTCAAGTCGATCCAGAAATACCCCAATGACTTCGACGGTGTTGTGGCAGGTGCTCCAGCCTTCAACTTCGTCAACCTGATCTCGTGGAGTATCCACTTCTACTCGATCACCGGATCGAATACATCAGACACATACCTCTCGCCGGCTTCGTGGAAGGTCGTTCATGATGAGATCGTGCGGCAGTGCGATGGAATCGACGGGGCAAAGGATGGCATCATCGAGGATACCGATCTCTGCCATCCTATTCTCGAGACAATCATTTGCAAGCCAGGTGCCTCTAGCACGACCAATTGTATCACCGGTACCCAAGCGAAGACTGTTCGCAATGTTCTCTCCCCATTCTATGGCGTGAACGGAACTCTGTTGTACCCTCGCATGCAACCCGGCTCCGAACTGTTCGCTTCGTCGATCATGTACAACGGTCAGCCCTTCAGCTACAGCACCGACTGGTACCGCTACGTCGTCTACAACAACCCCAATTGGGACGCCACCAAGTGGACGGTTGAGGATGCCGCGGTTGCTCTGGCGCAGAACCCCTACAACATCCAGACCTGGGACGCGGATATATCCTCCTTCCAGAAGGCGGGTGGAAAGGTCCTGACCTACCACGGTATACAGGACCAACTGATCAGCTCGGATAACTCGAAGCTGTATTATGCGCGCGTCGCAGAGACAATGGGCTTGGGCCCTGAAGAACTGGATGACTTCTACCGCTTCTTCCCCGTTAGCGGAATGGCACACTGCAGCGGCGGAGACGGCGCCTACGGCATTGGCAACGGGCTGAGAACATACAACGGTGCTGAGCCGGAGAACAATGTCCTTATGGCAATGGTCCAGTGGGTTGAGAAGGGGGTTGCTCCGGAATTCATCCGTGGTGCCAAATTCTCGAACGGGGTCGGTTCGCCTGTCGAATACACCCGCAAGCACTGCAAATATCCTCGCAGAAATGTATACAAAGGACCAGGAAATTATTCCGACGAGAACGCATGGGAATGTGTTTAGTTGGCGGTGTCTGGTGTTGTACTAAACTTGTCCATCCTGCTTGATAGAACGCAAATAAGTTGAAAATTGAGTGCAGATGTCTCTAGTGTCCAATACCCTATTTGGTCGCCTGTCATCGGATGTTAAGCCACCAAGGAAATGGGAGTAACCATCCAACCATGTCAGCCAAGACAGGGTCCTTGCCATAACTTCTTTCGCAGGGAATCGTGCTGATGGCCTTGTTTGTGGGCGTGAGATATGTTGAGCGTAGATAATCAACCTCACAGAGCATAAGACCATATGCCATAAGAGTCTTAGACTGAAGGAGTTCCTGTCATAAGCAAATTCCAGATTGCAGCGTGGATTGTCTCAAAGCTCGGGGCACAATCTAATATAATGTCATTGAAGCGGCAGAAGGTGGCGGTAGTGAGGGGCAGAAATGTATCTACATCTTAGGACTCGATCGACAAATGGAGCAATGCCTCCTTCACTTACATACTCCGTCTTGAACTCTGCGATATTCTGTGCGTCTGGCCATAAATTGGAAATAGTAGGTGAGACCTTTCTCCTGAACATGCGAACTACGTGATTGGAAATATCTCCCTTGATCTCCGCAAAGACACAACTCCACATACAGACCGCCTTGGCAACTTAGGCCTGGTTGAGGTAGTCGCAGTCAAGAGAGTTAATTACAGAAGGCGCTCGATGATAAAGTACTTTCGGGAGCGGAACTGATACTACATCTGGCGCATATATGCCTCTTGCTGACCGACAGACTTTCTAGCAAACACAGTTCCCGACGCTTCGAAAAGTGTTCTTAAGCCTACATTCCGCTAGCTAGGGTTGATCCTTGATTTTGCAAGCTACCCCAACCCCGCAATTGCTTAAGCGTCCTAATCGGATTGATCCATCGCGAAGAAGTGCGTGATCGCGCCAGCTTTTCATCGAGAATTCGCAAGATACGGACGTTTTACCAGTGAATTTCAGAAAAATGGCCGTTCCCATCGCCGACGCGCCTGTCATAGACGAGTTCGCGCAAACTCGAGGCGGGGACGATCTGTTCGATGACGAAATCATCCCAGTATCCGCAGACGAACAAGTACAAGCTGAGGTTCAGACACCGGAGGAGAATGTTGCAGACACCAAGAGCCAGGAGCCACCACGGATAGATACCCCGCCGCGCTCACGTGGAGCGGATAGACGAGGAGGGCGAGGGAGAGGAAGAGGGCGCGGAGGACGCGGGTCACACCATTCAGGTCGCGGGCGTGCAGAGGGAGGGCCAAGGGGCAGGTCTACTGACAATACTGCCGAACGAGAGGATAACAAAGTGGAGGATGCAGCCCGTGATACACCGGCAGAAGGATCTGAGCAATCTACAAAAGAGGATGAAACTAAGTCAGATGCTAAACCAGCCGCTGCGGCGAATGGAACCGAAGCTCAACGAGTTCCAGCCGTTCGTGGTGATAGGAGCGCAACCGGTGGAGTGAAGAAGGTACGGCACGAGCCTATGTAGCGTGGAGAGACATGTACTAATTTACTCTATCAGCCCAAGCTCACGGAGGAAGAGCTTACCCGACGCATCGCTGCCGCCAAGGAGAACGCCGCTAAAAAAGCTGCTGCATATGCTCGCGCTGAGGCTGATCAGGCGTCATTTCTCGAACGCGAGAAGGTTGCAGAAGAGAAGCGCCGCCAGGAACGCCAGAATCGCCGCGCAATGGATTCCGAACGCGAGCGCAATCGCTTGAGGAAACTCGAAGCTTTGGGCGGAAGGGAGTGGGACGCTACCAAGCGCGAAGAAGACTACGATCCCCGTGGTGGTAGAGGTCAATTCCGGCGAGGCATGCACGGAGGAGTTTCTGGTTACGTCCGACGAGATTTCGATGACGCCCGCACGGAGGAGAACCAAGAGGGACCCCATCACCACAACCACCGCGGCCGAGGACGTGGTGGAAGAGGTGGGCGCGGACGAGGAGCTTCTCGCGTTGCGCCTTTTGACGCCGCGTTAGATGGA